TTTTGACTGCCAGCTCTTTTTTTGTGGAACTAATGTACTTTTTGAGCTTGTGCCATATCCTTGCCACCATCTCCGTGTCCCTCAGGTCACCTGCCGGACGTGCAACTACAAATCCAACACCGTGGAGCCCTTTTGGGACCTTTCCCTGGAATTCCCAGAGCGTTACCACTCCCTGGAGAAGGGAATTGTCCCTGTGCAGCAGGCTGAGTGCCTGCTGACTGAAATGTTGGCCAAATTCACCGAGACCGAGGCGCTGGAGGGGAGGATCTACGCCTGTGACCAGTGCAACAGTGAGTGGGTGGCACTGTCCTGTGCCAGGGGGCACCTCCTGGGTGTGCCAGGGCTGGGGATTGGGCTCCAGGTGGGCTCTGAAATGTCATTTTTGGCTCTGAAATGTCATTTTTGGCACTAAAATGTAATTTTTTGGCAGTGAAGTGTCATTTTTTGGCACTGAAATGTCATTTTTTCGGCTCTGAAATGTCATTTTTTGGTGCTGGAATGTCATTTTTTGGCACTGAAGTGTCATTTCTGGCTGTGAAATGTCATTTTTTGGCACTCAAATATCATTCTCGGCTCTGAAGTGTCAATTTTTGGCTCTGAAATGTCATTTTTCGCCACTGCAATGTCAGTTTTTGGCACTGAAATGTCATTTTTTTGGCTCTGAAATGTCATTTTTTGGTGCTGAAATGTCATTCTTTGGCACTGAAGTGTCATTTTTGGCTGTGAAATGTCTTTTTTTGGCACTGAAATGTCTTTTTTTGGCACTGAAATGTCATTTTTTGGCTCTGAAATGTCATTTTTTGATGTGAAATGTCATTTTTTGGCACTGAAGTGTCATTTTTGGCTGTGAAATGTCTTTTTTTGGCACTGAAATGTCATTTCTTGGCTCTTATATGTCACTTTTTGATGTGAAATGTCATTTTTTTTGGCACTCAAATGTCATTCTCGGCACTGAAGTGTCATTTTTGGCTCTGAAATGTCATTTTTCGCCACTGGAATGTCAATTTTTGCCACTAAAGTGTCATTTTTTGGTTCTGAAATGTCAATTTTGGATCTGAAATTTCAGTTTTGGCTACTGAAGTGTCATTTTTTGGATCTGATACGTCATTTTTAGGTCTGAAGTGTCATTTTTCGGCTCTGAAATATCATTTTTTCGGCTCTGAAATGTCATTTTTTGGTGCTGAAATGTCATTTTTTGGCACTGAAGCGTCATTTTTGGCTGTGAAATGTCTTTTTTTTGGCACTGAAATGTCATTTTTTGGCTCTTAAATGTCTTTTTTTTTGATGTGAAATGTGATTTTTTGGTACTCAGATGTCATTCTCGGCTCTGAAGTGTCATTTTTTGGCTCTGAAATGTCATTTTTTGGCTCTACCATGGCATTTTTTAGCACCAAAATAACAAATACTTGTGTGACAATGACAATGGACACTTTAGATCCCCAAAAATCCCTCCTCCCTTCAACAATTCCTAAATATTTATTCCTCTCTCCATCCCCGTGCTGGAATAAAACAATTCATCACCCTGAGCTGCTTTTCTTTCTTTTTGGGGGATGAATTGGATCATAAAAATCTTAGATTTGGGGTTGTTTTGGGGTTTTTTTTGGCAGGCAGACGGCGAAAATCTTCTCCCAAACCTCTTGTGCTGAGTGAAGCTAAAAAGCAGTTGCTGATCTACAGACTACCTCAGGTCCTCCGGCTGCACCTTAAACGCTTCAGGTGAGGCACTGGGTGCTTTTTTTTGGGTAAAAATTATCAAAAATGGGTCTTTAATTTCCCTCAAGTCCCGTTAAACCCGTCAGATTTGTGAAACTCTCTCACTTTGCCTGTTTGTGGGGTGTTTTCTGTCACAATTTTAATGTTTTGGAAATATTAATCCTGAATTTCCTCGAGGTTTGCTGAGTTTGGAGGATCAGTTATGAGTTGATTTGGTGAAGGTTGTGAGTTAAATTTAAATTTTGGGTGTTCGCCTGTTGAATTAACAGAAAATGCTCCAGATATCAGGAGAAGTTTCTAGAATGGTTAGGTGGGTGTGAACAGGGTTATGTTGGTAGAATTTGGGATTTTAAGGGTGGTTATGGGAGAAATCTGGCTCAATGATATCCCACTTTAAATAAAAATTGTCAGTGGTACGGGGAGATCCTACCTGAAATAAAAATCATCAGTGGCAGGAAATCACATTTTAGATAAAAATTGTCAGTGGCAGGAAGAGATCCTATTTTAAATAAAAATCATCAATGGCAGGAGATCACACTTCAAATAAAAATCATAAATGGCAGGAAGAGATCCCACTTTAAATAAAAATCATCAATGGCAAGGGGAGATCCCACCTGAAATAAGAATTGTCAGTGGCAGGAGATTCCACATGAAATAAAAATCATCAATGGCAAGAGATTCCAGCTTAAATAAAAATCATCAGTGGCAGGAGGAGGTCCTACCTAAAATAAAAATCATCAGTAGGAGGGGGAGATCCCACTTTAAATAAAAATCATCATTGGCAGGAACAGATCCCCTCTAAAACAAAATCAGTGGCAGGGGGACACTCCACCAAAACCCACAAACAGCAGGAGGAAATCACACCTAAAACAAAAATTAGTGGCAGAAGGAGATCCCACCTAAAACAAAAACCATCAGTGGCAGGGGGAGGTTCCCCAAAAATAAAACCCAGAAATAGCAGGAGAACCCCTCAAAAACAAAACCTGCAAACAGCAGGAGACCCCTCAAACACAAAAACCATCAATGGCAGGGGGAGACACCCTTGAAACAAAAACCGTAAATAGCAGGGGGAAATCCCACCTGAAAGAAAAACCCACAAATAGCATGGGGAGACTCCCCTAAAACAAAACTTACAAATAGCAAGAGATCCCACCTTAAATTAAAACATCAGCGGCAGAAAAAGATCCTCCATAAATAGCAGGAGACCCTCCCAAAAATAAAAACCATAGTGGCAGGGGGACATACCCCAAAAACAAAAATCATCAATAACAGGAGATCCTGCCTAAAAGAAAACCCACAAATAGCAGGAGACCCTCCCAAAACCAGAACCTACCAATGGTAGGAGGAGATCCCACCTAAAATAAAAACCATAAATATCAGGAGATCNGGAGGAGACCCCCTTAAAACAAAACCCACAAACAGCAGGAGACTGTCCCAAAAACAAAACTCATAAATAGCAGAAGACTCTCCCAAAAACAGAACCCATCACTGACAGGGGGAAATCCCTCAAAAACCCCACCTAAAATAAAAACCATAAATATAAGGAGATCTCACCTAAAAGAAAACCCACAAATAGCAGGAGACCCCACGTAAAAGAAAACCCACAAACAGCAAGAGACCCTCCCAAAAACAAAACCTATAAATAGCAGGAGATCCCCCAAAAACAAAACCCACAAACAGTAGGAGACCATCCCAAAACCAAAAACCATCCATGGCAGAGGGAAACCCTCCCAAAAACAAAACCCACAAACAGATGGAGACCCCGTTTTCAACCAACTCCACAAAGAGCAGAAGCAGCTCCGTGTGAGGGGTGCCTGGGGAGGATTTTGGGGTGAAATGGGGGTGTTTCAGCTGTGCCTGACCCCATTTGTCCACCTGCAGGTGGTCGGAGCGCAATCACCGCGAGAAGATCGGGGTGCACGTGCTGTTCGAGCAGGTTTTGAACATGGAGCCCTATTGCTGCGGGGCCGCCCCCAACACCCACACGTGTGTGTACGACCTCTCGGCTGTGGTGATGCACCACGGCAAAGGCTTTGGCTCAGGGCACTACACAGCCTATTG